CTGTTTTAAATGCACCACAGACTGCCTGTATTGACCCCTCCCCAGCGGCCTGTGAAAATTTTCTTCACTTTTTCATCAATAAGGTCACTTCCACTAGGTCCCTGGTTCACCACCTGCATATGATCCCACTGTCTCTGTCCCTTGCTCTGCCATTTTCAACACGTTTGAGCTTGTGACTTTGTCCTCTGTACAAGAGACTGTGTGCCGGATGAAGCCCTCAGGTTCCCCAAACGATGTCATTCCTCCTCGACTTTTTAAAGAGGTTTTTACCACCATTGGGCCGTCTGTACTTGCCATTATTAACGTCAGTCTATCCTCAGGTGTAGTCCCTATGACTTTTAAACATGCAGTAGTGCAGCCTTTGATCAAAAAGCCTGGCCTAGATCCTGCAATTCTGGCTAATTTCAGACCTATTTCTAAACTGCCATTTTTATCGAAAATCCTTGAGAAAATAGTTTACTCTCAACAAATGGCATTTTTAGATGAACAAAATATCCTGGAAGTTCTTCAGTCTGGTTTTAAAGCCCTACATAGCACTGAAACTGCATTTTTAAAAGTTTTTTAATGACATCTTTTTAGCCACCGACTCTGGTCAATGTGTCATTCTTGTGCTTTTAGATTTGACTGCTGCATTCGATACAGTGGACCATGGCATACTGATCTCTCATTTGGAGCAGTGCGTTGGCATCAAGGGCACTGCCCTGGAATGGTTTAAGTCCTACCTGTCAGACAGAACTTTTAGTGTCAGCCTTGGTGATTCTGTGTCGTCCTCTGCTCTTCTCTCATGTGGGGTTTCGCAGGGTTCTGTTTTAGGCCCTCTTCTTTTCTCCCTCTACCTATTGCCACTCAGGTCCATACTGAGGAAACACGGCATCTCATTCCATTGCTATGGACATGACAGTCAGATCTATGTGCCCCTCAAAAAGTCAGACTCATACTCCACCAAACCATTGATAAACTGTCTCAATGACATCAAAGACTGGATGTCTTTAAATTTTCTAAATTTTAATGAGAAAAAAACTGAGGTGATGGTTTTTAGTGGTCCCTCTGCACCCCTACTGTTGCTGTAGGTTATCTGGCCCAGTATGTTAAGCCTGCTATTAAAAACCTTGGAGTCAAAGTCGACTCAGACCTTAAGCTTTACAAGCAGATAAATGCAGTTGTAAAGGCAAGCTTCTTCCAGTTGAGGCAGTTGACAAAAATTAAGCCCATACTGACAAGGAAGTGTTTTGAGTCAGTCATCCATGCCTTTGTCACCACTCGGCTGGACGACTGCAACGCACTATATGTGGGGGTTAATGGGTCCTCCGTTGCTCGTCTGCAGCTGGTACAAAATGCTGCTGCACGACTTTTAACTGGTACATGCAAGCATGAGCACATTACACCAATTTTAGCATCACTTCATTGGCTGCCAGTTCATTTCTCTTAACGGCCTTACCCCATCCTACCTCTCTGAGTTGCTACAACCTTTTATGCCCACCCATTCCCTCAGGTCAGCTAACCAGCTGCTCCTGACAGTGCCCAAAACCAGACTCAAGCACAGAGGAGATCACTGTGGCAGCTCCCAAACTGTGGAACGATCTGCCACTGCACATCAGGCAGGCATCCTCACTGCCTGTTTTTAAAAATCTTCTTAAAACCCACCTGTTTTCCCTGGCTTTTAACACTGTGTAAGATGTTGTTTTTATGTGTTTTTTACATTTTCTATTTTCTAATTATGTAAACTGTGCATTTCAACCTATTGTGCATTTTATAGTGCTTCTTATTTTCTCTGTACAGCACTTTGGGACCTCAGTGGTTGTTTTAAAGCGCTTTATAAATAAAGTTGGATTGGACTGGATTGGATTGGATTGGAGAGAGACCTTGTCTTTCTGTCATAGAAGAGGTTTTAATTTTTATGAGGTTGTTATGCACAACTCCTCTGTTTAATTTTAGATTTAGATAATTTAGGTGGTCGGGGGACAGACACCATTTGTATAAAACTATGGGTGGGTAACTGCACTAGAAGCTCAGAGAAGCGTGTAGGACTGCAACTCTGAGTCCTGGTCTCAACTCTGGGTTGTCAGGGTTTTGAATTACTAATTACCTTGGCCAGGTTCCTAGATATGAGGGCAGCTCCATCCAAAGTGGGATGAATGCTGTCTCTCCTAATAAGACCAGGTTTTCCCCAGAAAGTTTGCCAATGGTTAACAAACCCACATTGTTTGCTGGACACCACCTGGACAGCCAGCAATTAAATGATGACATGTGGCTAAACATGTTATCAGTGGTCAGATTTGGGAGGGGTCCAGAGAAAACTACGGAGTCTGACGTAGTTTTTGCGTATTCACACACCAAGGCAACATTAATTTTAGTGACCTCCAATTGGTGTAACCGGGTGTCATTGCCGCCAACGTGAATAACGATCTTACTAACGTTTAGCCTTAGCCAGCAGTTTTAATTTTGATTCAATGTTGCCTGCTCTGGCCCCAGGGATACATTTGATTATGGTCGCTGGTGTTACTAACTTCACGTTCCTCAGAATAGAGCTGCCAATATTCAGAGTTTTCTCCTCAGCGGCTGTGTCGCTGAGTGGGGAAAAGCGGTTAGAAACATGAACAGGCTGGTGGTGAACCGTGTGCTTTGGCTTGGAGCTATGCTTCTACTGGACAGTTACCCAGCCTCCTGGCTGCACGGGGGTTACCGGGGGACTGCTAGCAGAGGCTATGCTATGTGGCTCCGCACCGGCTACAGGGGGCTGGCTAACTACCACCGCTCCCGAGTGATTTTCCATGGTGCGGAGCCGCACTTCTAATTCACTGAGCCTCGCCTCCAATGTAGCAAATAAGCTACACTTAGTACAATTATCACTGTCGCTAAACTAAAACTAAACATCTGGCACACCGAGCAAGAAAGAGCAGAAGGAGAAGCCATCACTAACTGTTAAGCTAATGTAGCTAACAAGGCTAATAATGTGCAAACAACAGCGAAGAGATTAGCAAGAAAGTCGTAAAAAGAAGGAGAGCTATAAGTGCTTAAACAGAACTAGTGTGGGTTAAGACTTGAATTAGATATTAAGCAACTGGAGTGAGGAAAAAACAGAAAGCAAGCTAGTAGAATTCGCAAGAGCAGCACAGAGACGCTGTCACAGAAAACACTGGAAATGACACAACACGCTTACTGCAATACGTCAGCACATCAGTCATTCAAGGTGCACACCAGGGCAGGAATTTCACGAGGGCCACGAGGGCCATGGCTCTCTTGCCCTCCTCATTTGGCCCTGTGTCCACATTTAAGACTAGACTTAAGACTTTCCTCTTTGATAAAGCTTATTAGTTAGGCTTATAAGCTTATAAGCTAGTTAGGGCTGGCTCAGGCTTACCCTGAACTCATATCGCAGCGGTGCCTGGACAGCGTGACGTGTGTGGTTGTGCTGCTGCCGTGGTCCTGCCAGATGCCTCCTGCTGCTGCTGCCATCATTAGTCATTAGTCATACTTCTACTGTTATTATACACATATGATTATTGTCACAAATGTATGCTGCCAGATATTAATACATACTTTCAACATATAAATCCAAGGCACTCTTCAAAATCAAAAATATATAAAAAGTTTTAATCACAGGGACTAGTTCATTATGGAACAATAAAAACAGGCTTAAAATCAGCCAACATGTTTCAACCAACACACGGTCTTCATCAGGGCTGTCCAGTGGTGGTTGATTTTTCGGTGGAGCCGGTTTAGCGTTAGCTTGGCTGTCAGTGGCGAATGCTATCTATGGATGGTGAAGTGTGAGGTTAGCCCTCATGTTCTTAGTATTCCCAGAATATTTTATTCTCATGTGACACTGCTTGCAAATCACATGTGTCATATCCAAGTCCTCCTTTCCTTCTGTGTTTAAAAATTCCAAAGTAAGTTCAGATGTTTGATTTAAACGTTGACAACACATTTCTGATTTCTTTCTCTGGTACCGCCATCTTTGTTTTTATGAACTTCCTGCCAAATAGCACTGACTGAGGCCTCTGATGCCCTCACCAGGAAAGAAAACATCAGCAACATCTAGTGGACCGATAAAGCAAAGCAAGTTGTGTTATAATGTGTATTTGCAAAAATTAATAATAATAAAAGGTCAATACTTGGCATCAATGTATCAATACAATAGCGCCGCGCAAAATATCTTGGTACTATGCTGTATCAACTTGTTTTCATACAGTCATACACTTTGAGAAACGCTGCTCTACATGCAGACTGCAATTATTTTGTTAGAAACTCCCCATGATAAAAAGTAGCAAAATAAAATTGAGGTTGTATTAAACTGATGTCCAACTGATATTTAACAGCAGAATGGTGCAGAGGTTAGAACTGAAGCCTCTCAATAACATCTTACTTCCCGCTTCACTACATAAAGGGCAAACTACTTCCTGCACTGGCACCAATTGGTGGCATTGAACCTAAAAAATGAGCTGTGGGCTTGACCAATATGAGAATACAGTACTAAAAATTGTGCTCTTTGTGTTCTGAGTGAGCTACGTCAAGTCGCTCCCTTACATTTTTTCCCTCTATGCTTCACACCTACTCTCTTCATCACCAAGGCCCACTATAATGTGTGCTTTGGTGCAGACATGTTGCAGGTTGTTTGATGCTTTTCTTATTCTTCTTAGACAGCTTCCCCAATCTCTCATGGCACATATTAATGCCAGGAGGGCAGAGGGAGAGGGAATATCTCAGTAATAAACAGACCCTGACCACGCAGGCAGAGCGTGTTTGAAACAGATTTCTTTAATGCCCCCTTTCCTTCATCTTTCACTTTCACACACTTTCCCACTTTCTGAATATTTCACCACACTGTTCTGTCAGTCCTCTTCTATTGTACACATTTTTGTTTTTTTTTTCCATGTTACTCCAGCTCTTTTACTTTTCAGTGTGACACATCAAGCTGAACAACCTTGCCTCTCACCTGGGTGTTTCTGTTTTTACCACAATAGGAGCTAATCTGTGGCATGCTGTGTGTTTCCCTGCAGCAGTCAGAGGAGGTTGCACAGACAGAGGGCCCCCAGCAGCTCCACCTGCCATCCAGTGATTCATCAGAGAAGCAGCAGCCTAAGAGGTTACACGTTTCTAACATCCCTTTCCGTTTCCGAGACCCTGACCTCCGGCAAATGTTTGGGGTGAGATGACAACTGCACCACGCACGCACGCACGCACGCACGCACGCACGCACACACACACACACACCATGGGCAATCATATAATTAGCTAAAATTACAGCACTGTGCAATACTCCTGCACCTGCTTGTTCTTCTCAAGAACTCATGAGCAAATGCACTCAAAACAAACTAAGAAATAAAGAAATTCAGTTCTAGAATTGCAAAGCAAATTAGTGTTAAAACATAAATGAGGGGCCAAGACAGTTATAAGAAGATGACATAATTGTTCACCTCTCTTGTTTCTCTCTTGTTTCTTTTACACCCTTTCTACCACAATAAGCACTTGTACGCAGGTTTCTTAGACACAGGAAAATCCACTAAAAATAGGCAATAGACTTCTTTCCCATTGCCAGATGACCAGAGCTGTATACATGTCTCTTCAGCAGATGAGTATGCCTTTCTTTGTGTGTGTGTGTGTGTGTGTTTTCTTTTTTTTAACTGATGTGTCATATATGTTCAACATCACAGATGGGCCAAAAAACAGGTTAGTAAACAACAGAAAGTAGCATAGAGGCCAGTGGAAATGTTGTGTTGTTTCCTCCTTTTTTGTATACTTTCTTATTCAGTCTCTCTTTAAAACTCTGTGCAGACTAATTGGGAACAATATTCGAGTGCTGCTTGGTGGCCCATCATTGCATCGCAAGAACAAAGTGGCTAAAGCGCATCCACCTAGTGTTGTATTTCCATCACCGCGGATGGAAGATGATCAGAGCTGAACTGATAAATATCTGTGACTACTGCAGAGTAATTTGTCTGGGGAGTGAATGGCAGCTGTAACCTTTCCCATTAATCCTTTGAACTTTGCCATAGAAACACTGTTTCTATGGCAAAGTTTGTATGGTGTTGTCATTTCTTGGGGTATCTTCAAATACTTCATATCCCTTAAATTTGTACAACATTAGCAAAAAGTAGAAACACAATCAAAATATTTCTTAACACTCCACAAGTTATTTGAACAATGTACATATTTTAAGTTTTTGAGATATGCTCATATTTGTGAGCAGAGTGTCTTTATAAAGTTAACATATCGTGCCGTCATTTTAAGTTCAACACTTCCTGAATTTCTTTCAGATTAAAAGCTCCTTATAACCTCGGAGAAGAGAATCCCTCCATTTTCTAAATAGGCTTTTATTGTGAAACATTTGTAGGAACTTGGTTGTGGAGGATTCAGTAGCTTGAATGTTTACGTACGGCACTTCAAATGAAGCTCCTCCCATCTGCTGACGCTTTTAGGTGACTACAACAACATTTCGGCTGGCACATGAACAGACACAGTGACTCAAATAATAGTAAAAGTAATAAAAATAGGACAAGAATAACCCGATGACATCACACACGTCGTGTAAGACGACCGGGGATAATTGGTGAGTTCCACTGTGTAGTGTGTCATGTCTGTCGGCCAAGTCATGGCACGATTTTATGACTCCACAATCGTATAATGTGACATAGTGACTTTCAGAACGGGCAGAAAAGTCATGTAGTGTGTACCAGGCATAATGCAAGTCCTGAGTCTGACCTGTCTATCAGCGAGTCCTCCTCCACCTTTTTTTAGACTCCACCGTAGACAATGGCAGCATTTCTTCTACCACGTAGCTAGCCAAAAGCTTCATGACTGCTTTCAAACTGATAGGTTTAACGTTATCTCCGTTATTAGAACCAAAAGGAAGCTGAAGGACCAGCGTTCTAAAAGTAACAGAAGTAACTGATGGCTTGTTTGAAAATGTATTCAAGTATTTGATTAATCAAACAGCAAACTAACGCGTTAGGTTACTCGTTATTGCAGAAAGTAATCAAAATACTCTAACATTATACTTTGTAACTTTATACCCAACTCTGCGTGCAAGGTACCTGGGTGTGTTGGTTGTTGACATTCTGGGATGCCATGTCAACTTGTTACACGCATTGTCTGTTTTCAAAATACACTTCTGTTTTCACAGGAAATGTACAGTTTGTATACAGTTTCTTTCAAAATAAACACATTATGTTGTTACAACAACATTTTTTTCCCTTCAACAACAAACGCACGTGGTTATGTTTAGCCAACAAAAGCAAGTGTTTGGGTTTAGGAAAAAAGAACAGGGTTTGGCTTTACAATGTTACAGAAAGTGAACACCGTTTCCCCCTGATGCCGCTGGTTGTGTATCATGTCAACATGAAGGGACAGCATTTTTTTTTATGGTGTCTGATGCTGGAAATCACTACCCAGGTGTCCATATTTGACACCATCATTGTGAGACCAGGGGCCTGTATCATGAAGCGAGATCAACCTTTCCTGGGTTACCCAGACCTATCCTGGGCTGACTAACCCTAACAATGGCAATCAGGATAATCGGTATCACGACGCTGGATATCAACTCAGTAACTCAACCCAGGGTTGCTTTATCAAGAGCCGTGAACGCGCACGCAGCGGACCAATCACAATCATGAGAGAAGCACAGCGTCACTGAGCTTCACTGAGTGTCCTCACAGAGCGCCGTATGTGAGGAGAAAAAAAAATATTTCTCGTGAAGATCAGAGATTAATTCTACTAAAATATGAGGAGGAGAAAAGCAACATTACAGAAAAGGCCAACACCGTGGCAGCTGCAGGAGGAGGAAACATGCGTGACAATGCATAACGGAATGAATAATGTTTAGTTTTAGTTTAGATTAGTTTATTTGCATATAATGTTAAAAACAGACAGTATAAAATTTACGAGATTAAAAAAAAGAAAAGTGCCGGAGAGGTTAGAAGCCACTAAAAGCTTATCAAAGAAATTCCCCTGTCAAAACATCAATGAAATCACATTATAGAGAAGAAAAAAACAGGTAAGGAAAAAAGAAATAGAGGAGGAGAGAGAGAGAAAAATCAAGACAAAACAAGGTAGCAAATAAAATTATGTGTAGGTTAAATTACTCATCACTGGTTCAAGTAGCTACAGTACCTGTACCTGTACATCTGACACTGATCACACCCTTGAATCCCATGAAATCAATGTTGCGCAGATGAATTGCGTGTATTACAATTATCGTCTAACATCATTGCGTCTGATAAATTGGTCTTCTTTGTCATAACGTTATATATGCTACAATAAAGCTTAAAGGTGACGCCACAATTAAATCATATCAACACCAAATTAATAGTCTGAATAAAATCATCCTGATATTGAGCTGTGTCAGAAATTAACAGCTGTGCAAAAATATACCTAGTCTCCCTCTTTAAAAAACAAAAAGGAAAATCCCTCAAACACAAGAACGAAACACAACAAACAAAAGTGTAGACATGATAGGCTACTTTCCACATTTCCAGCAGCAAAGCTGTCAGTTAGGCCCATTATCTTTAACAGGGATCATTTCCTCCAACAAAAAAAATGTTGGCACTAATTAATGGTGCTATTAAGTGTCCGCAAATTATCAGTTTCTTTCTTATGAAGGGGTGGGATGAAAGTTCGACTTCTTTCCACTCCTTTTTGAACAATCTTTTCATTGTCCGTTGTTGTTGCTTTCTTTTCTTTTTTAATTTTCAAAATAAACTTTCAAATCAAAATCAATCAAATGAATTAAACTTCCCGTCATGACTGGGCTGCATTTCTGTCAGTGGAGTCATTTTTTTTCTGAACAGCTGATTGGCCAGTGGGTGGTGCTTTTTATAGGATCAGATTCAACCCTGAACTTAACCTGCTCTGGAGCAGAATAGCCGTTCAGAGTAAGTTACCATGGTGATCTACCCCGATAAGAACTGAACCGGCTTCGTGAGACTGAAAACCCAGGGTTAACCCTGAAGTTACCTCGCTAAGACATTAATCCTGCTTCGTGATACAGGCCCCAGGTTGGACATGGACAACATTTGGCACGAAAAGTTGTAGTCTTGGCTTTCTATTTAAAAAGAATTAACGCTGTAGCTCTTTGTTTGTTCTTTTAGATAAATTTTAAACAGGATCATGAAAACAACAACCCCCTGCAGGCAAAAGCCAGATGTAAGCAGGTGTTTGTGTTTTGTGTTGTTTTTTTTTCCTGTGCAGTGGCAAAGTGGCTTTGTATAGAGTCTGGAACTGGTAGTAGAAATCTGTAGTTTCAATGATGTGTATGAAGTCAATAACACATGAAATGCATCACTGAATATTAATTTTACGTGAATTGCCAGTAAATATAGGCATCCATAAACATACATTCGAAAGTGGACTCTGATAATCTCTCTCTCTCATTCATATTATCTTTTTCATATTACTGGCTCTGCTTTGAATAGAAAATGTCATGTTTGAGTGTGGCCATGCACCTCAAGTTGTCTCCCTGAGCTACCTCACAAGCCTTGTTCTATGAAGCTGTACATAATTCACACCTTCACCTCTGTTTGCCCCCTAACCCAAATTAGACAGAGCTTATTAATGTTTCATCGTCCATGTCTGTCTTCAAGTGGTTCTTAGAGAGTTGGACTGGGGGATGCTCCAGTTCTCTTTACCTGAGTGAAACAAACATTTAGTGAATGAGCCCAATGCAGGAAAGGTACAATGCAGTTATTACTTTGCTTCATTCATTTAGAGACCATCTAAATAGAAACCAAGTTTTTAAAACATCTTCCTCAGTTTTTGTCAACTTTCCACATCAGCAGCGTGTCAAGGGACTATTCAACTTATCTTGCATTGTAACATGCATTATGACAACTTAATAAGGTTTATGTTTGTTTATAAATGAAGTGGAGGAGCCTACAAGTGTTTTGTTTAGTTTGTCTCAGAGGCTGCAGAGGGACTCCACAGCTCTGCTCAGCTGTCTGCTGCTGCTGCCAGAGATCAAATTTCATTGGGGGCTGGGAAAAGGGCAAGGGAGACAGCAGTCATTCAGTTTGTTGCCCTAACCAAAGATACTGGATTGGATTACTACTGTACTATATAGTATATACTATGCTGTACTATTACTAATAGTAGTAATAGTACAGCATAGTATATAGTATATACTATGCTGTACTATTACTACTATTATTACTGG